GGATGGGAGGTGATGATTCGTCAGGGCAGCAGTAAACGCTTTATAGGTCGGCGATATATTGTAGAAATAGATATATTTTTCCATGGCATAAAAAGAGCTTGCTGATTATATACCTCAACAAGAAAACTCACCTCCTCATTTGAAGTGGTATCAATTATGGGGATGCCACTCAAAGCGAATTTCAGATCATATAAAGAGGTAGCGGGCTCCAGAGTGCGACCCTGAGTGCGTTGAGCATAGACACAGAGGATGGGAGAAGGTTTTGATTGTTTGGTAGGTGGTGAATCCAAAGGGAGAGATAGTGTCGAGGAAATCATGTTTCCCCTCATTTGAAGTAGTGAGGGAAAGTGGGGAACACTTTCAAAGAATGAGACATCAGCACTTAGAGTTTATTTGTGATAGAATTAAGACATTAATTGCCTTTTTGAGTGGCAGAATATCTATAGAAGACACATTTTAGAGTCATGGGATCAAGCTTACTACAATTAGGGGTAGTGTTCCAAACAAAGGTCGTGCACCCAAAAATTTTGGGTTCAAGTGTGGTGATGACCAATTGATAGAAAAACATGACATCAAGATAGCTAATAGAGTTCTAAAGTTATGAATATATGTGGGAGTTAGCAAGCACGACATCATTCCAAAACCTTTTCGGGACATTAGGTTGAAACATAATGGAGCGGCTACCTCGAGAATGTGTCAGTTTTTCTCTAAGCAATTCCATTTTGTTGAGTGCTCGTACATGAGTTATGATGGAGGATGCCCTTACCAAAAACTCATCTCAAATAAAATTAAAAAATTCACGGCCATTGAAGGTTCAAACGAATTGGATTGAAGTCTTGAATTGATTCAAAATGAAAAAGTGAAAGTTTTGAAAGGTAATAGCAGCTTTAGATTTATCTTTTAAGATATAGACCCACGCCATACAAGTGTGGTCATCAAATAAGATAAGAAACCACCATATATTAGTGTAACTAAGAGTGCGACAGGGTCCCAATAAGTCACATAAAATAAGAGAAAAATGAGTGGAAGGCGTGCAGGGATGAGATGGATAAGGAACAATAATGTTTAGTTAATTGGCAAATCTCACATTTGAAGTTAGCAATTTTTTTATAAGTAAACATTGATGGATACAATTATCTGATTAAGAGTGTCGGGTGATTACAGAGTGTTCCAAGTAGGAGCTGATTGTACTGTAGTAGATTCACATGCCGTGGTGAGACCCTTTGCAAATGAGGATTTGGCTGAAGATTTGTATGTTGGTTTCCCATGAAGTTATGAAGTTTCTAACACACTTTTCTCGAGTATGATTGGGTTTGTGATAGTAGTCAAAAGTGGACCCAGTGACTTGAGGAGGGTTTGACGAGCGTTGAATACTATTAGTGGCCAAGGCAGTTGATTCGACATAGGTGGAAGTGTCGAGCATGAAAATTCTCCAGCTCTCTTCGCGTCGAATTTCTGTGAAAGCAACACGTGCGGAAGGGGATCCCGGCCAAGGATCTTGTCCCGAACCTCATCAAGATCCTTGTTAAGACCAGCCAGAAATTGGAACATGCGATCTTTTTTCTATAATTTTCTAGAAGAGGGAAAGATCTGCCAAAGATTCTTACATGTAATCATAATAGAGACTGCATTCTACCCAAAAGATCACCAAATCATGTACTACTGGGTCATTGTTCTTAATCCTTGTTTTTTCTCGCAATTTTTTATGGAAACCTCATAAAGTTGGCTGAAGTTCCTTACATCTAAATAGGCATCCCGAATTGCAGTCCATAGGGCACTGGAAGAAGGGAGAGACATATAAAAACGTCCAATCGCAGTCTCCATGAAGTTAATCAACAACGACATGACTATGGAATTTTTCACTTCCTACGTTTCATACGTCGGTCAGTTTTATGTGGTTCACGAATCATGCCCATGAGAAAGCCAAATTTCCCGCGTCCCTCGACAAACAAAGACACAACTTGGGACCATTGGAGGAAATTAGATTCGTTCAATTTATTAATGGTGATTAAGTTCATAAGATTTTTTAAAACTCCAGTCTGTGGGGGATAGAGATAGGTTTGGAGTCTCCAGTGGACTCGAATATATCGTCGGGAGAAGGCTCGGTGGTGGAAGAGTCCGCCATGAGTTCAACAGAACTGAATGTGATGTTAGATTGCCGAGACAGAAAAAACCAACAAAGAAATCTTGGACGCTGAACAGCAGAAGATTCGACAGTTGGAAGAATCTCTGGAAATACCAGGGAGAATAGGCAGGCTAGAGAAAGAGAAAACTGACAAATAAGGTCTCCTGCAGCTGGAACTGGTCGATCTCAAGTCAAATGAGTCGTATATGCAGACGCGGCAAGGAACGGTGCAAAGCAGCCGCGGCAGAATTGAATCACTGCGAGAAAGTAGGCGCGAGAAGGAAACTGCAGCAAAGCAGATGTGGCAAAGCAGAGGATCGACAAAGCAAGGCTAGAAGGAAACTGCGGCAAAATTGAGCGCGAGGAGGCTCGACAAAGCAGTTTCGGTAGAGGCTTTATGAGTACACCAATAAAGGCTTTAGGAATAAACTCATGGCTCTGATACCATGTCAAATTTAGAGAATAGGACTACATATTTTTATTGATAGAAGAGAGGCATAAATATAAATTACAAGGTTCAAATAAGAGAAAGACATGAATTCGAAAATAGACCTAACTAGGAAATATATCAATATGGAAGCGGAACTAAAGGTACCAAATAAAAGCATATAGACTCCAATAATAACAGCAACCATAAATATATATATACAGGTGAGCATCGAAGAAAATTATAAAAGGATTTTCTAAAAAAAATTTATCACAATCGAGGGCAATCATATGAAATTGCTCAAATGAACCCCTCATTTTGATCCCAGCCAAGAACCCCCAATTGCGTTTATCTGGTTCTCATTACCTGAACTCAAGCTTCAATTCTTTGACCTACCTATCTTATATGCAATTGGGACCATCCTTAGAAAACCTTTACAGTTAGACACACCAACAGTTCATTTCTCAAGGCCCTGTATTGTAAGATTTTGATTGAAAACGATATTACACTATTAGATGAAGAAGAAGTCTGGCTTGGCTCTGCTCACAATAGTTATTGGCAGAAAATCGTTATGGAACAAAAACCTCACTACCGCAAAAGAAATATTTCAGATTGCACCCACAGTTGAGATAGTCAAAAATAGGAACATGCTGTTATTGTACCTGAACGCGCTCCCAACAAACTTGATGACAGCCAACCTGACAAGGAATTCACCACAAGAATAGTGTGTGACCCTGGGAACCCTTCTCCTGCTCATACTATAAGGAATAATATTCAGACCGAAAATCAGGATAGCCCCACAGCTCCTATTCAGGAAGCACCAGGTGCAGATGTGACAATTCACACTTCACATACACTGGAACCTATCGTTGTGGCAATGAATGTCTTTCCTTCTGCTGTTGTTCTAATATCTAATCAGACCGAGGATCACATGAGCCAGTTTTCAAATAAAGAATGACAGGTTTACACTTCTCGGTGGAAGAAGGCTGGAGGCACACTCCAACTTGGAAACTTAATGGATGATACTTTGATTACTCTTGGCAATGGCACGACACTTCAAAGTTTGTTATCTGGCTTCGCTTCTAAAAATAGAGGAAGAGGCAGGACTAAACTGGCTCCTCTCCTTAGCTATTTGTTTTTTTTTTTTTTTTTGCATGTTTTAAATTTCTTGAATCTCTCTGTATCATTTTGTAGGGGTAGTACTGTACTTGGTATCGTACGGACAGGATGCCTTTATTGGGCCCTCTCATACAACATTTATGTATCATTTCTATTTCAATAAAATCAGCCCTTGGGCTTTTCAAAAAAAATAAAAATAAATAAATATATATATATATATATAAATTTATAGTTGTTGTTTGTCATGCTTATGTAGTGTAGCAGCAAGGAATCTTGATATCATAAACATAGCTATGATTACAAGTAACCTCATATCTCAATGAAAACCGTTTCTTCATACAAAATATATTTAATGGCAAGCATTTGCATATTTTGACTTTCGTACTAGCTCCTATAAAAAAAATTCAAACCATTTGACAAAAAAAGCTCTAAGAAAACAAAATTGAAACATAAAGTTCACAAGCAATGTTAAAATAATTGCCCATTCAATCTCCTTTTCTGTAAGCGGCTAAACAGAAATAATCCACCACATCCCAGAATGCAGAATGCCATGAAAGCTTCTCTAAACTGAAAGCTGTCAAGAATGAACCATAATTCGCATATGATATAAATAAACAGTTTCATGGATTTCTGATAAATGTTAGTTTGCATCTATAAGACAATCATCTTGGGCTCTCTTCACAATGTTTATAACTAAACTGAGAGAAAAACCACTTAGAATAGGTCATAAGGGGAAGAAACTTGCACCGCATTTTTCTGTTCTAGAATGATTCACGCAACTTTCCAAAAGAGTATATCCCAAACTAATTCATTGGCCATTCTAGCTCAGTAACAAAATGAATGTGGGGATCACAGTTTCTCACCTTTAAAAAGGAAGATGGCTTTCGGAATTTTTGGTAGAACATTTTTGGGAAAATGAGCCTTTCTTTTTAGCTATATGCTCAAATCATGGAAAACATTAACTCCAAGATTCAAACTGTCACTCACAACTATATGGTTACTATCACCAGCATTCTTCCAACTACATTGATTTGCTAAGAGTTTCCACTATCTCAAGACAAAAAAAATATAAAAAAAAAAGATAAATGCCCAAAAATACTGCGCGAGTACCACATTTATCTAATTTTAGTCTCCAGACCAAACAAAATTAATCGCAAATGGTCCCTTGGTGACTAAGCTTGGATCAATTTTGTAAAGCAGAGAAATTAAGTTGGAGAAATGTGATACTCTGGGACTAAACTAGCCACATATGAATAGTTTTGAAAAGTTTGGGCTTCTTCCCAAAGAAAAACAAAGTAATACTAGCCAGTATGAGTTAAAGTAACTTACAGATATTGCAGTATAGCATGCTCGAACGTCCATTTCCCCAGTATGGTGCATTCTGATAATCAAAAAATTATTTTTCTGTTCAGGGATTGAATTTCAACCAACTTTACGTAACCGCTGAGTTTCCACTTTAGAAAACTAAATTATTTCAAAAGCAACGATGCAAAAAATGGTTATAGTTAAAAAAAAATATTGTGGCTTTCAGACAAAAATTACACTTCATAAAAATAAAGCCTCCAAAAAGAAATTATAGCTATTTTGGATCTCAGCTAATAGACCAAATCAGCTAACTATTTCCATTTAAATATCAGAACAACATAAAAACTAGGCTTATCTAAGTTGCATAATCTGTAAGCATAATACAAAAAAAAGAAACATTACCGTCAATACTGAACAACTGTCTTAAATGATGGATTATTTTGTTGGATAACTTGGACACAAAATCTTGTAAGATATGTGGAAATTGAAATACTTACATATTATGGTAGATCCATTGTGAGGTGCATATGCATGGAAGTGATAATTAAATATGTATTCAGATATTAATTACTCCATCGAATTCCATAAGAATGGGCTGCCACAATTCATCTGGAGCTAAGGATCTGTTTGGAGCTTTGGAGCTTAGGTTAAGCCAAGCAGTAAGATGGCAGACTCAACCATAAAATTGCACCAATTTTTTGGGAGATTATGCATGCTGAGTATAAAATATTTTTCTCTGAGTATACAAAATTTTCATGTAATCATGTTCAAAACAAATTTATCAACCATCAATTTGGAATTTTTTTTAAGATTTGACGATGAGTTGTTTTCTCAAGCCGTAAACATTTCTCTATCATCCTGACTTGCAAATCAATCTTCATTCAATAAATTCAAGTAAAGATCAAGAGTGAAAGAAGGGGGTAAACGCAGAACTAAAAGGTGATATGCGCAAACTCAGGCAAACCCACAAAACCAGAGGCGGGCGAAGAATAATTGGTGCTGAGCTTGATTAGGTATGGTCTCAAGCCTAAGCCCCATGCAAGGTTGGATAAGTGATGAATCTAAGAGTTTATACTCATCAGAAGCATAGAAAGTGAACATTGATATGAGAGTGATGATATTGAGTTATATTGTTTTCTGTTTATTCATTAATCATGGCTATGATGATGATTCTATTGAGAACGGGTTGTGTTCTAAAAGTCTCATTTAATATATCCATAGATTTTCTTTACTGCAAGTTTGTTTTGATTCAACTATTGTATTATCTAGTTCGATTATATTCAATCAACCGCTTAGGTGCCTCTACATTTCCCAATTTTGTCCATCCCCTAATTATTGGAATTTCCAAAATTAGAATTTTCGGCGATAATTATGGTTACTAATTGATGAGGGTAAGAAGATTGGTCATTTTTCATACTAACTCAAATTACTAACTCAAATTATGACAAACTATTGGTGTTGAAAAAGACGTATTTACTCTCATTTTAATATTCAAGCACAGACAAAAAAATGTAAACAAAATTTTGTGTAGACAAAATTTTTATGTGAAAATTCAAGTATAAAAAAAAAAGCTAAAGGAGTTGGAATAATAATTTCATCTAACTAACAACATGAGTATATAAGTTCATTATTCCCTAACAAAATTAAAATACAAAAACGAAATGATGCCTCAAGAGCACCTATATTTGTTGGCTCTAGTGGTAGCGTTAGCACCCCAAGGTAGCAATTGTGAATGGATGATGATGCTCCTTAAACAACTATCACAAAAATGACAAAAGATAGTCCTTAAACAACTATAATTTTGGTTCCACATTAACATCAAGTAATGTCTCATGCTTTAACAAGAAAAAATGCTAAACAACGACATCGCCTTTGACAAACTGCAAAATGTTGCGACATCAACTTCATAAGAAAAATAACAAGCAATGAAAAATAAGAGATCACAACAGATGCAGTAACTGGGCACTTGGATTTACAATTGAACTTCGAATGCAAGAAAGTTGGAGTTCAACACCTTTCTGAAGGCTTGACCATATAAACATTTATTCTACATGAACTCAACTATATGCTTATTTTTATATTCAGCGAATTCCAATATGGGCATGTTCAATCTTCAATTTCATATTTACCTAGCATGAATTATATAGATAGCACTATGATAACCTAAACAATAATAGAGTTCTCCCCAAGTCAACTCAAACAGCGAACAAAAAAATCAAGGTTGTTGACTGCGCGAAACTAAATATTAAGATGTCAGTGATGACAAAATCACAATAGTCTGATGATTTTATATTTTTCATGATGAATGCAAATGAAATATTGAAGAGGTCTGTCACCACATTTAGACATATTATGCGAACAAGCAGCAAAGTCATATAATATTTGACAGAGATAACTAACATCAGGAAAAAAACTCTTGAGCAAAATAAGTTGTGATAAATGGAACACAAAGGACGTAACAATTTAAGGAAAATATGAAGTTCAAGAAACGATCACAATTGAACAAGGGAAGGTCAACAACAAATAAGACAACCTGCCCCTCCCTATTGTTTGGTGTGTGCGGTTGAAAACCTATAAAGACAATGGCAACAATCACAACAGATAGTCTTCCTTGAGCAGGTTCTATACCAATATGAAGAAGATTGGACCAACTAAGGGTATGTTTCCAAAGATGGAAACAACCACAACCGATAGTCTTCCTTGAGCAGGTTCTATACCTATATGAAGAAGATTGGCCCAAATAAGCGTCTGTTTGGGGGCAGTTTTCTCACTGTTTTGCATTTTAGGCCACTGCCATACCTCCATTTGACTATTGCTTTCTTCATATTTTTTGGATATTTCTGAGATAGAAGGTTGTTTTTTACAACCAAATTTGCTAAAAAGAGTTATCCGATTTTTAATAAAGTTTTTATAATACTCACAACTTTCAAAATGTTTATTTTCTCCGTAATAAATTTATAACAATCTTTATCAAAAGCTCCAAGAGCGCCAAATAAATTCAAAGTCAAGCCAATCCAAAATAAAGAAAGTCTAAACAATTTCAAGGTCATTGGGTTATGGACCAGACAATTCAAATGTTATTAGACTTCATTTGACAGATCAGCAAAAAAGAGATTTACTTGAGCACAAAAACGGTGTTTTTAAGGTGTTCAGAAATCATGTTCTGCATTAAAAAAAGTGATTGATCTACTAGAATTGTACAATCCCAACCAAAATAAAATTATTTAGATGTCCTTTGTCATTATTAATTCCTCTATATCGTGAATAATAATAAAACGTTTCATTTTTACCGTCGCATTAGCAAAAAAGAAGTTGAGGAGGCTTTAAAGAAAACCAAGGGTGGAAAGTCTATAGGACCTGATGATATCCCAATTGAAGTGTGGAAATATTTGGGAGATTTGGGAGTTTCTTGGCTTACTAAACTCTTTAATATTATTTTAAAAACTAAAAAGATGCCTGAGGAGTGGAGGAAGAGTATTTTGATCCCCATTTTTAAGAATAAAGGGGATGCACAGAGTGTGCAAATTATAGAGGAATTAAGTTGATGTGTCATACTTTAAAATTATGGGAGAGGGTAATTGAACATAGGTTAAGATGCATCACGAAAATTTCTCATAATCAATTTGGATTTATGCCTGGCAGGTCTACTATGGAAGCTATACATTTATTGAGAGGTTTGATGGAGAAGTTCAGAGATAATAAGGAGAATCTACATTTGATTTTTATTGATTTAGAAAAAGCTTACGATAAGGTTCCAAGAGATATCCTTTGGAGAGTTCTCGAGAAGAAATGTGTTGATATGACTTATATTCAAGTCATTAAAGATATGTATACTAGAGCTGTTACTTGTGTTCAAACTGAAGGAGGATTGACAAAATATTTTCCTATTTCTGTTGGTTTACATCAGGGATCGACTTTAAGCCCATATCTTTTTGCTTTAGTTATGGATGGTCT